GCTACGGGTCAAATTGAAGTGACCGAATTCCTGTGTCTTTTATAGAACGAAGAATTCACTATGACCCGTAGCCGGCTACATGGCTACACCGGCTACGGGTCAAATTGAAGTGACCGGTCTTCCTGTGTCTTATATAGAACGAAGAATTATGTTTTAAGCGTTAAGTAAGTAATATATACAATATGAGCGGGCGATCTGTATGAGGATTTAAAACAGCGAGCTGAAAGCGAGCTGTTTTAAATCTTCATACAGATCGCACGCGAATATTGTATATTACTTATGAAACGTTAAGGTAAATTAGCTCAGGTTTTAAAGAAACTTTTGAAAAAAAATTCAATCTGACTGAGAAAATCAGAGTAAAAGTTTATGCAAATGAACAAGAAATMTKTATGWRATATACAACTCTCTTCATGGGCTATGATTTCTATTGTGTTTTGCCTTATGAATATTAATGAGTTTTATAAAYGTTTGCGCTTTTGCGATGTTTTAAGAAGAAGAAACAAAGCCTCTGTATTGTTCTTAGTAACAATAGATCACTGATCGCGAAGGCGTAAGTTTGAATAAATTATTGGTGTTGTAAAGTATAATATCTGTGAAGCTATTGTGTTTAATGATCGAGAGCAGTGTATTGTTATTTGACTATACATGYAAAAGTTATCTAAGAACGCTTTCGCTTAGTTGTATGCTCAAAGTTAATATTGGAGGTCATTTTAAAAAGAATTGTAATAAGAAGTCTCTATCGAAAATAAAATATGTATAAAGTCACTCGTAGTGAAGTTTTGAAATAAGGCCATTTTCATGCAAGTAGCACTTTAAAGAAAAGCATGTATGGGCAAAACGCTTTGTCTTCATACTATGTTATAAGCTTATACCAGTAAGTGTAGTTTTGTGGAGGTTTGAAGAACGTTTCATAATAACCTAGAAGAACCTGTCATTATGAAAATCTATTGAAATTTATGTCATTGTMCAATTTAAGCCAATGGACAAATTTGTAATGCATCAGAAAGTGACAGGGTATTCTAACATTGCTCATACAAATAAATGAAATTATAACATAATGCTTCGTTCTAGGTGATGGAAGAAAAGTTTTAATTGATGTTGAAAACAAAAAGGCACCAGAAATCCTAGATATTTTTGAACAAGTAGCAGGAGCAACCGAAAGGTATTTGATTGACAGGCTATATGAGAACACCAATCATGTGTATACCTCCACTATACATATACATCTGTCTTTTAATCATTATTATCCCGTGTATTTTATTGATAATATATTTGTAACAAATGTGACTATGCAATT